GCTGTGTTAAGTCAGCAAGTTGTTTACGGGAAAAATTAATTTTTCTAATTAATTTACTAAATATTGTGGTATCCGAACCAAAAGCGCTATGAAGTTTATTGTATGGATTTTTAAAAAGAAATTTGTCACCTTTCTGCCGAATATCTAAAAGCACCGTCATACCTCGTACAGCCAAAGTTATACCCAAATTTCATTTAAGAGCCATTCTAAATCATTAGTTTTCAATTTAGCCTATCTCTTAAACTTGTTAAGATAGTGACACATTGCTGAACAATTTCTTTCTTTACTAAAGAAGATTGTATCCATTGGTACATGTGCCAATACATAACTGCAGGGTGTACTCCTTATATGAATAAATTAAATTTCTACAAGTATAATATGTGTACAAACTATTTTATATTATATAAGCTGCAAATATCTTATACATAATATTACATAAACCAAAAGAAAAAAAACCCAATGTTATAAAAAACTTTTCTCATATCACGATCTAGAGAAAATTATTTTCTCATCAAAAAAAAAAACTATCTTATATAAATATATTACCGTCATTAATCACAATCACAATATAATTTTAATTATAAAATAAAGTAACAAAAGAATCCTGTATACACATTTTCCTTAAATATTTCCACACTTACCTAGCACACGTAAGAATTAATATAGTTTTTGTACTAATCATTCTAAACAATAACAAAAAAAAAAATTTATCGATTTTCTTTCAAGAAAATTAATGTCCATATAGTATAATAATTAACCAATTCAGTTTTCATTAACGGGAATGATTAGTCTTGTTATTTCTTTCTCATATATTCTAAATTTTCCCTTTACACTCTAAAAATCTTCGCCCTTCCTGGATCTTGTTTTGTTTTTTTTTTTCATTTATCTTTTGTCTTTATCATGTTCAATGAAAAGTTTTTATATTTTTTCTGTCTGACAATTACTGTGAAAATTAGTTTCGAGGAAATTTCGTAAATATGCACAATTTATTTTTGTAATAAATATTTTATTAATAATTGAAAAACTATCACCATATATTCATCATTTATATAAGAAATGATATTTCCTATGAATTTGTCAAATTCCAATATCTTTTATAATAATAAATTTTAATTATTATTTATAAACTAAAATAAATTATGTGTTATTATTTTGAGTTCAATGGCTGTTTTCTTTTCCCATCGAAATTATAATTAAAAGGAAAAACTATATACAAAACACAAATTTTCATATTTTATATCAATACCATAACAAAATTCAAAAAGGATCCTGAATATATGAGAATATACAAGAAAAACATAACGTGAAACCTATAATACCTATAGACTTCATAATTTCAATTGATTAACGCAGTGTTTGCATACTTAATATTATACACAATACTCGAGACTTTATTCATTTTAAAGTAAATTCTGTTAGAGAGTTAGTTTTATAAAAAAATATTGAATTGAATAAGTCTACAAATACTTGCTAACTCAGACTCATTGTAGAGCCTTTTTTTTTATTTCAGAATAGAAATGTAATAAAAATGTTGCACTTCAATGAAATATTTATTAAACACACTATGCTTTCATAGTAATTTCTCAATCTTCCTCTACATTCATTAACTTAGATAATATTGTGAATACGTCCGTCTCTATGTTGATATTATAAAATATACCCACTATTAATGAAGTTATATAAAAAGCATTGTGCATTAGCAATATTTTGTTTATATAGCGAAATGAATAGCAAAACTTAAACATTTTTATTTAGCATAGAAAATAAAGTACGAAATGAACTAAAAATTTTGGTTTCAAAAAATATTTTCATTAAAAAAAGCTTTTCATTAGTTATGTAGTCTGCAAACTGCATATTTCCACGTCACAATTGCTCCTTTTAACAGAAAAATAAATTTTTATGTATTTTTAAAAATTTTATTAATTAAATTTTACATATTTGCGATAAACTATTGTGGCCACTACCATCTCATACCTATATGAGATCTAAAGTTTTCAACTCCCTATATTTTTTGTTTGACAATTATAGTGAAAATGAATTTCGAGAACTAGTTTTTATTTTAATTTTAAAGCATCACTTTCAGCAATGAATTGAGTAAAATCGTCACCAAATTCTTAATTTAAATTTTAGTAAGTGTTTTATGAATAAAAGGCACATAGAAATATTCGTATTATTTTTTATGGTTTTTAAATGGATTTCTGTAACTATATCTAAACAAAAAACTGAAAATTATTTCAATTATAACCATTATCTCCTATTGGATATTTTCCAATACGAATATTTCTTAAAACATATTTTCTTTATTTTTTTTCTTAAAGGAATATTGCACCCTCGTTTTCATGATAACAAATAACATTTTTGGGTAATCTTAATTTTTGCTACCTTTAGTCAGCGAATTCGTCTAAGTTTTTAGCGAATGAGGTGTCAAAACAGTCGAATGAAAACTATGTATGTAACACGGTTAATAATGAAAACCAAATCACAAGTAGCTAAGAATAAAATAAACTATTTTGCAACTCTGTAAACATGTTATTTTTGATGTGTTAAAGTAGCAACATTTTGGATGTGGCGTATGAAATTTTGCTGAATTCGTCAACTTCATTTGATTCGCTTAACCGATGGCCCTGTTTATCATGATAAAATTCAAAATTATTGAACAGAATTTTTAAATTTTAATAAAGTAATATTGGACCAAAAGGTTTAATAAACAACAACAATTATCAAAAAATAGATACTTCATCATTGATCATATTGACCATATTCATCATATTGGATTACCAGTCATTCATTAGCCTAATTTATTTAAAAGATTTAATATTAAGAACAATAAGAATTATTAGAAATTGTATTATACGAAATAGAATATTGTAGTGAATTCGGGAGTGTTATCTTAAGAGCTTTTAATAGCTGTAAAAATTTAGTATTTTATCTAATATATTAGCCTTACAAGTTATTTATAAAATTACAATACTAACTTAAATTGTTCAAAAACTTCATTCCTTTACGCTGCATTTTAAAATACCCAACATTCTTTATGTTTTGATCTCATTTTTAAATTTCAATCTAAAATGCAATAAAAGAAAAAACTAATTTTCAAAATGTTCCTAATGCGATACGTGATACATCGATATGCTTTCATGTATTATATATACATAAAACATATCCTCTATAATTTTCCATCATAAATTACTAACTTTGGGCAAATTCTGCAATGTATTTTTGCTAAATTCAATTCACAATGTTATTTTACGAACGCAAACTCTCATTTATTATGCTCTTAATCCAATTATAATTTTTCAGAATATTATTTTACTCCAAAATTTTAAATCACCTATCACCTCTAATGCAGTTAATTAAAATTCTTTCTATCATAACGTTTTACAGCAACAAAAATCTACAATTTAATTATGAACATTAAAAAATTTTGTGCCATTTTTGTAAAAGAACAAAGTTAGGAACCATTTTTCATTTACAATATAGTAAGAATATGTTGCAAGAATGACTTTGTAATTATGTGATATACTTTATAATTTTTAACACAATAATCTTTAAAAGCTCAAAAGTTTTTCATTTCATCAAAAAATTAAGATTGTTTCATTATAAAAAAAGTTTTCCTTTTTTTCTCATATACAAAATTTTATGCTATATATGTGTAAAAAGTAAAAGTAAAGACAGCTAAAAAATGTTATTCAAAACGACATAATAAATTATATGTAAGTAATTATGTCATATACGTACAAACGTAAATACGAGGAATATTAAAAGGAGACCTTTGTTTTTAGAAATACTCATACTGCCGAATATGATGACAACAACCAAATAGACATAAGACATTTGGGTAAATTAAAATATTCCAAAGAGCAAAAAACTGAAAAAATTAAAAGTATTATGTTGCAAACTTTACTTGTTATACACCCAAATTAAAAAACACATAATAATTATATGTGTTTGAAAACAATGTATAACAGCTTTATTATGTTCAAATAAAAAATTTTCTCTTAAAATATTTGCAAGATTTTACAAAAAAGAAAGGAAAGTAGTTGATCAAACCTGTGCGTCAGTAACATTCGAAAGTAGTACATTTTCTTAGAAATTCTAAAATTTTTATTTATAACACTTTGGATCTAATAATAATGAAAACGTTCTATTGAAATTATTCTCTAATTGCCACATACAATTTTGCATACATTTAGGATGAATGTGAAACTAATTATTTTTCAAATAATCCCAAATGGTAAAGAATGATGAATTTTGTAATATGAACACGAAATACATTTAATTTTGTTAATAACAGTAAAAATTAAATTATTAATTGCATTAAATAAAAAATTATTTCTGTTCTGCTATTTCTATTAACAGAGTCTGCCAACAGAATCTTCAGTATAACAAGATGTTAATAAAAATTTTATTACAAAAATTTTTATGTAAATGACAAAATTGAAAAAAATTTATTACTTTTAACAAGGCTAGGTAAAGCTGAACGTGCCAACTCTGTGTGATAACATCACGAATAAATAAATTTAAGAGTTGTATAATATTGCTATTTAATGCTATTACAGCTGTACTTAAGCCATAAAATCTCATCTAATTTTACATAAAATTACTGCATTATTAACATTTTCGTTTGCGAAAAATTTCAGTCTTTAGGTGAAATATAAGTTCTAAGATATACATAAATAACTTTTGAAGTTGTATGCATACCTGATTAGTTTTTGAGCTTAGAAGAACGAACGTCTGGAAAAACGAACAAATATTGCTAAATCGTTTCAGAATTCGACGCCTATCAAAAACATATACTTATATCTATACTTAAGACCATTGTGTCTTAAAGTCACGAACAAAATGGCAAAATTAACTTGTCGTACGTTTGTTCGGGTATAAAAAATATTGCAAAGCTGCACATACATACGAGCATTTTACATACTAATTTTAATAAATCTAATAAGTATACAATTGCAAAATAAAAGAAAAAACTTAAATCCTCTTAAAATTAATTTAAACTCTTATATTTCTATATTATATACATATGTACAAAATTATTGATATACTCGTAGTTTCAATATATTTATTTTAATTTCAATAACAATTTCTTAATTTATATTGCTTAAATTATAGAAATAAAATAATTAAATGAAAAAAAAAATAATAAAATACAAGTCACTTAAAATATATCTAACTAACTGCTTTACAAACATACAAAACTATATACAACTTTTGGTTTTAATTTTTGATCAATTTCAGTACAATTTGCCAACACTATACACTATATATACATACATACTATCAATTATTATTACTACTCTTGTCATCTTTTTTACTACTTTTATTTGTGTTAGAATCTTTATTTTTCAAATCCCCAATATTATCATCACTATTAATAAGTTCGTTTCCATTACAATCTTTTTGAATAGTTAAGCTGTTATTAGAAATATTAATTGTAACATTTGAATTATTTTCAACATTTCCATTTATAATATTATTATTATTATTATTGTTATTATTATTATCATTATTATTTCTAGTTGTTCCATCACTATTTGATAAATTCTCTGTATTTGTATATGATTCATTTAAATAACCGGCAGGACATAGAATTACTTCAGTATATGGAGGTGGTCGATGTAATTCCTAAAAATAAAAATTACAATTAACAACGTTTCTTCAAAAATTTTAATTTAATATAATAAAAATTTACCAGTTCTAATTGATTGTCAGAATTTAGATATGGTGGTGGTGCATCAATATTTCTTTGAACTGTTATACCATTGTTATTAATATTATTTGATGAATTAATATTTGTTGCTGTTATTATATTTGGTGCAGATGTTAATCCATTAGAATTTCTATCACGTACATTAGAATTATTAATACCATCATATGTGGGTGGACGATCTCTTAATCTATTTATAACACGAATTTGCATTGATGTCAATGATGTTCGAGCATCACTTGGATAATTATTAGCAGGATCATTATCATTTTGATTTCCTCGTGCTCTAGCCAATGCAGCTCTATGACGCGCTCTTAAAAACAAAAATTATTTTAATTACTTTAATTATTCAACTTAAATAGAATTTTTAATTAATTATTTAACTGACATATTTAATATTTTTATTAAATAATTACAATCAAAATATTTATTGAAAGATTTGCATTATTAAAAAGATTATATTTTATAGTTCATGAAATTAAAATTCAAATAAATGACTTGCATTTAAATAAATGTTATAGATATAATTTAGTAAGATCGCAATACAATTGCAAGAAAATCATGTATAATAAAATATTATATTTAGTATAACAGATAATTTAATAATAGGATTCAAACTTACGACAAATATTTTGGCCTGGTACATAAACGGTAAACAACCATTGCTAGTGCGGCAATACCCATTATTAAAGCAGCTGATAATGCTATTTGTGATGCTGTTACCAAATATCCACCGTTAGCAGAACTATAATAAAATGGATAAAATGTCATTATATTAGACTTGCCTGTATAGCTCATAGTTTTTTTGTTGATGTATAACAAATTTTATTTTCGAATATATAATTAGAATTTTAAGTGTTCAATTTTCAAAATGTCGTTATTGAATTATTTTTTTGAATAAATTTTTGTCATTTAAAAGTTATATAGCTGCGTTATCAAAAAACTTATTTTTTACACAAATAATAACATAAAGATAAGAATTTTATCTCATATACATTAAATGTATATAGGTTATGATATGACAGAATTGCCATCATTCCCATTTCTTGAAATATTAAAAAAAAAAGTTTTTATACCACTCCCAAAACTCATACCGATTTTCAATTAAATTTATTTTGATCACCATCTTCATATAGTAGCTACCAATTATATCTGGTACAGTCTTACAAAATCATTGAAGAAAGCATATACTCAATTTAATTTTGTTTTAATTTTTGAAGGCATACAATATAGTGTATTAGATACCTGCTCGCATTTGTTCCGAAAATTATTTTCTGAAAAATGATAAATCAATTTTTACAAACACAATCAACTATACCATACGAAAACTGTAATGGTCGTTATAATAAAACTCACTATCACTATAGCGTCTACAGCTTAGGTAAGACCGGAAGTGCCGTATGAATTGATTAATTATAATTATTAAAAATTTTAATAAATAAATATAAAATCGAGTATTCACAAAGATATAATACAACTTCAAAGTGTACTCTTAACTATAATTAAAAACGAGAAAAAATAGAGATGACCTTGTCAACTCTGTTATATCCATACGAATTTGTTATCCTATGTGCGAATAAATATTCCGTAACAGACTATGGGACAGAATATGAATTTAAGTTGCCGTATTACCATATTAATTTATGCAAAATCTCAGTACTGTGTGTGTCAAACTACTATTGAAGTTGTATAGCAGCTACCAGAAAGAGTCAAGCAATTTCAACGACTTTTATCAAACACATTGGCTCTACTAATATATTTGCTTGTGTGAAATTTCAACACCATAGCTTTTATAGTTTCTGAGATATAGCCAAATAAATTTTGAAGTTGTATGGCAGCTACCCGAACCGGTACCCCGATCATGTCCAATTTAAATAGGGTTCTGGTACTTACTACAATAAATTATTACTTACTACAATAAATGATAGAGTTTACCAACATGTTAACATACTTGTATTTGGAAAATTTATTTTAAGGTAATTTGTCGTTCCAAACTAAAGACATTCAAGTTCAGTTGAGAAGATCATAATTATTTAATTATTTATCTCTAGTGTAACCTCTAGAGAATTACAGTTTCGTTCAACGAATCGACTATCAACTTTATATGCTGAATTTACTCGAAAGATTTTTTTCAACTTGTAGTTAATTCCGTTTAAAGTCAATGCTATATGAGATGGAAAGTTTATTGAACGGCATGTTAAAAATATATTAAGATTTTGTTTTGAGTAGGTATATTTATGTCTACATGTACATATGTCTAAATAGTTCATTAAAAACTTTTATTTATTGCTCTAGTTATCAAAAACGAAATTGTTTTTAATAATAGAATATTTAATTTTAATTGTAGCAATAAAATTAACTTTAAACTCAATTTTCTTTACTACGTTTTCAAAATAAAATAAGCAGATCATTCATTACAGTGAGTTGAGGCTTTGTTTACAAACAATAGAGCAATAAGTGTATATGAAGTAACTTTACCTTATAGATATTCTATATGAAATATTTAAAACGAAAATTTAAAACGAAACTAATTTAATTTAACATTTAATAGACATTCAAATTTGGTTGCATATTACTAAAATAAATAAACTTTAATGTTGTTCAAGTAAAAATCAAAATTAATGCAATTGTAAGGAGCAATAAATTACAGCACATCTGTAAAAAAGGATATGATAAACAAAATTAGTGCAATGGGATAGAAATAGTACAAAATTGGTTTTACAAGAACTTAACTGCAAGAAAAATATTTAGAACAATGATATTTTCTAGTTTTGCTTTCTATAACCCCTTGCAAACCCGTAAAACTGCATATTGACGTGGTGGATAGACTTCGGGCAAAACTTGGAAAATAATGAAAATTTTGTAAAATAAATATTACAAAATTTTGATAGACACTTTAGAGAAATATTCAAAAAATACAAAATGAGTAAACTAAACCAACAAAATCGTAAATACCCTTGATGATAAAAATATTAATTTAAGGAATGAAAACGACTCTTTAGATACAAAAAAAAATCAAAAAACAAATGTTGAAATTTTAAAATTAAAACGAAAGAAGTATGCAAGCATAATCGAGATCATTGAAATTTCAGACAAATTGAAATAAAATTGAAAATAAAATTAAATCTCCAAAAAAAGAATTTGAAGAATTAAGCATGGAATTAAAGGCTGAATTTATATATTTAGAAAAAGGAAGATTTTTCAGGTATTCTGGACAAGCTAAAAGTATTATTATAGATCTGGCTAATAGTAATACAAAAAACAAGCCAATGGAGTTAAGACAAAAAGAACAAAGTCAAACTATTCACATTAAAACATAAAATTTGTGTAAAAGCCTTCCTTTTATATTTTAACAAAAAGGCAGATATCACAGGTTCAGCGAAACAAAAGAAATTTTCAGAAATAACGTTGTAATCACTGTTTATTACAAAGTAATACTTGATCCATTTTTCAAGAAATATTTATAACCTCGCCTTGTTATCGGTTATCATTAATAATTAAATAGAAAAAAATTACCTTTTGTTATCAAGATAATTATTTATTTTCACTTAATTTTGCGACTCGAAAAAAAAAACCTTCCATTACTTAAAATAAATACGAGGATTTCTTAGAAAAAAAAATGACTGTTCAAATCAAATTAAGAAATTTGCAAAAAACAACTTATTATTAAAAAAAATATTACAAAAAGCACTAAAACTTATAGAAAGCACTAAAGATTTTTAAAAAAACAAATTTTTGAACCCTCATTTTGGGAGTACTAATTCCAGATACAACAAAAAGTTAAAGCTCAAAAAATCTAAAATCCCCTTCAGAAAAAAAATTATTTTACGTAACTTAAAAACCAAAAAAGTAAAAAATTTTGTTTACCTGCACGTTGAATAATCAAAACCACATTCGCAAATTCCTTCGATACATACTAATTCAACACTTTTACAACAGTTGCCACATGCTTCCCCTAGTGCTAAAAGTAAAATAAATTAAAATTAATTTAATATTTTTATGCGAAATAGTAAATTCGAAAATGTTATTACTAAAAGTTTTTTGAATAGTTCGTCATTTTATAAAATACTATCCATAAGTTACAATACATCCGCACAGTACATATACAGGATAATTAAGTAAAGAGTCAATATTATCACACTCATCCCTCGCTTAACGGAAGCTCTTTGTACAGAATTTCGGCTTTACGGAATTCAAAAATTACACCAAAGCCTCTTTTTACGGAAAAAAAATTCGATTTAAAAGTAGTTTAAAAATTACAATTTTTATAAAAAAACTTATTTCTGGGAATTTTTTTATTTAAATATACATACATACATATATGTTAAATATTATGTAGATCCATAAAAACCATTGTGATTATGTATTCTATGTACTCTAACATTTGCAAAGAATTTATGTATGTAATTGCTTTTTTCCAAGAATTAAAATTTCTTATTGATTCTGATTGCCTAATGTTGTAATAATAGTAAAATCCCACTATATTTTTTGCAAATTAACCAGAAATATATATGTACCTATATAAGTTAAGGTAAAGAATTATGTATACATTTTGATAGAATGGAATTTCTCGTTATTTTTTTAGAAATTTAGAAAAGCCGTTGAAAACTCCAAGTTTCCGAATTTTGAAGGGAGATATCTTGGGAAAGGTCGTGATTAAAATTTACTTCTAGTGAAATAAGCAAATTACGTCTATAAGCTGCTATAATTTCAGACCCTTGCAACTTTTCGTCTAAAAAAACCTACATATATCAGGAATTTGAAAAATTGGTTTCAAATAACAGTTCAATTCGACGGCCCTTTACATTGAAGGATGTAAAAGTTTTGAAAACAGACACACGGACAGACAAACGAGCCGGATGAGCAGAGTGAAACTAATAAACATTTTTTGTAAGTTTTATTTATAACGAAAAGCGCATAAATAATTTAATTTTACGCATTACAGCTAATAATATTTCTTAGGGATTTAACAATAATCCCTAATGTTATATAGGAATACTATAAGAAAACTTAAAATATTAAGTATACGAAATTATTAATAAAATGTCAAGTTGTTGAAACAAAAATAAAATGTAATACTTTTATAAGCTTTCATTTCTATTTCTTGCGTTCCATTTTACATGTAACTTTTTATACTGCTGGACTAAAACTTGACTTAGCATATACGTATGCCTATTAGTTTCAAAAACCCAGCATTGTCATAGTGAGTCATTTTGAGTAAATTAGAAAAAACTCCTAACTGTTTTATTAATCATGACCTTAGTATGAATTTTTGTTTATTAAACTTTATTTTGAGAAAGCAAAATCTGTTACATATATTACTAATAGCTTCTGAATTATTTCGAATTTAAAAAGTGGAATTTGTGTTTTTTGCTACCAATTATCGGAATTAATGGTTTCCGCTATGTAAACATTTTGAAATTGGAGATAGAAAGCTAAAATTTCATACATAAATAGAAATACAAGAAAATGATTTCCGTAGAAGAAAATGTTTGCCTATCTCCCCCACTCTAAAAGTTACAGCTTCTCAAAGGCCTACAAATACATTTTTCAAACTCTGTAAACGCAGGAAAATAATGTCAGCCTTTTTCTACAACGGCATATTATATTCAAATATTAAAAAAATTAAAATCCGTTTTTTCCAAAATTTTTATGTCGTTTTTCTTCTAGACCTCAGGTCACAGGAGTCTAAAATTTTAGCAGCTTTTAAATATTAATAAATAGTTCATTTCGTAAGAAGAACATTTTTTTCTACCTCCAGACCCTCTCAATTTATCACTTCTTGGAATTTGTAAAATTTGAATTTTTGGCACGTTATATTCCCGAAACTGCAAGGTTTTTCAAATTTCTATAAATGCAGAAAGCTAATGTTAAATTCCATACCATTGAAAAACAATTATTTTTTTTAACTTAGGCAATTCACCCTTAAGTTTGATCTTTACGTTTACGTCTCTTTAATTTTTTTTGTTTTATTTCAAAAATTTTATAAATCCTAATCATCCTAAATATATGCAATCCGTGAAATAGTTTCGTTTATGAATGAAAGTAACTTTAATAGTGTAGTAGATATACATAGATCTATTGTTTTTTTTATATATTATATAAATTTAAATATAAAGATTTTGTTATTCTACTTCTCACTTAAATGCAAATCTATCGAAAGCAATAATTCTCTGTGTAATCCCTCCTCTCATCTACTAATTTATAGGAGGTGAGGGATTATTATACACCTAGAAACCTTTATATAACTTTATTGAAGTATTACATACTCTCACAAATGGAACAAAACCATTATTATTTTAAGTAAATTTTACGTATATACGCAGAAATAAGATTAAAATGCTTGGAAATTTTAAGGCTATCACTCATGAGTTTATCAACATAAATTTTATTTTTGGTATTTTTACATAGCATTGCACAACGTACACTTAATTGTTTTATTTACATTATGATTTCTCTTACATATTAAAAGAAATCTGACTATCAAAAAATCAACAAAATTTAAATTTAGACTAAATTTTATAAAACGTTTTCTAAAAATAGAACGCTCTACAATTAACCTTAATTTTTTAATCATATGATTTTTTTATCAATCTCGCATATACTCGTGTATGCCTAAATTAATTTCTGATTATTATTATTAAAATTTTAATCACAATAATCTACGTAATATTGAAAAGATAAGAAAATTAGCAATTTGTTCCTAAGAACAAAACGACACTCTCTTTTCTTTTTTATAATATTTCGTCACAAGCTTGAGTAAACTCTTTTCAAAATGTCTTATATTATGATCTTATGCAAACGTCTGTATGGCTCATAAAACAAATTTAATTAATGCTAATATTTACCAGATTACGCATTGCTATTATCAGTTAAATCAATTTGAATAGAATGAAGCGGGTTTTTTTTTTTTGGTTTTACAAAATGGAATTTTTTAACATGTGTATATTTTACAAATACACAAATGGAAATATATAGTAACAATAAACACTTGTTATCTTTATTGCACATATATACAATTTTTGGATAATAAAAAAAATTTATAATCTTATATAAAATCTACATAAGTAGGTGATTAATGATGCAAAGTGATTAATGAATTATGCAATTGAACACTCCAAAATATATATGTATATATGTTTATAAACAACTATAGTTCACTTCTAATTTCGCAATCCTAGAGATTATTAAATGCAGTAAACTACAAGCCATATGAGCTCCAAAGGTCCGTTAAAGTAATTAAATGGTTGATATGAGATTTCATACATTTCTACTGGTATAACAATTTTGGGTGGAAATGCCTTCCCTCCATGGTAGGGAAGTGTAAATAAACTATTTTTAGCAACCTTTTCGGTTCTGTCGGTCTGTGTGTGCACGCGTGTATCTCAAGTTCGGCTAAACCGATTTTGATGAAATTTTAAATGTAAGTTTATTTCGACAATGGCTCGGGTTGAACAACTTTTGGGATATGTCAGGCCTACACTTTTAGAACTGGACTTTTTAGCGGGTCTGTTTTATATTTTTGACCATTTTGAAGAAAATACTCAACGGATTTGGTTAAAATTTCATATATAAGCTTCACTCGATCAAGAATTTCAATTTGAATCCTAATTTTTTCAATTGGAATAGCTAAAATTATGTTCTCGTATTTAAAATAAATTTTTCTAGATCAAAACCGATGCGTACTCATACCTTTTATATATTACAAGTCTATGTACAATACTTTGATAGTATTTCAAACCTCTCATAACTCCTAAAGTAGAATAAATTGTATAAACAGCATAGCAAATTATATGTAGTTACATATTTATGTACACTTATATATAATGAAATAAAGTTATTTAAATTTAAACCATGGCCATAACAATTATTACCTTACATTTACCAATGTATTATGTAAATATAACTAAGGGTTGTGAGTAAAATCAACAGTGGGCACTAGACATTGTAAAAACTAATACGCATATTACGATCAATAATCATATATCATTAAATTACGAAATCAATTTCTTCAACATATAAATTTCAAGTTTTGTAACCTAAATTCTGAAATGTGCTGTAAAAAAAAGTAGTATGTATAAAAACTACGTACACCTAATTCTTAATGGAATATGCATTTAATTGGTATACGCCATAATATCATAAAGTCTACATGTTGAATATTTCTATTGAAAAATATATTATTAATAGATCTATCTATTCATATGTATATACATAATATGTAAATATAATTTCTGCAATAAACTACAAACTAATTGTGTACAATTGTATGTAAAAGTTCGATACTTTGTTAAAAAAAAAACTAATTATTTTAAGTTAGTGGGAGTTTTCCTTTCAATCAACATTCATTGTTGACATCTAACCCACTTAATCATTTCAAAATATTTAATAAATATTTTCTACAAGAAAATGACATAATACCTCAGTATCCATGATCTTAATTAGTCCAACCTAAAATTTCTTGAGGGAAACACTTATACTTTTATTATAAGGCAGTTGTATGAGTAAACTATTGAAGGGGTAAGCGGACAAAGGGGTTAACTTACATTTGCATCTTGACACATTTTTTCATTAACAAATTGCAAAACTATTAATTTTGTTTTGTTACTTAACTCCGATATGCACCGTCAATCTCGTCTTCTATTAAATTTCTAGTTATAAAAGTAATCACAGTTGAAAATATATGAAATTTAATGATGTTCTATCCGAAAAGCTCTATTTTCGTCAAAATGTTAGTTAACCCCTTTGTCCACTTAACTCCTCAATTGTGAACAAATAAGAATTTTGCAAAGTTTTCTAAAAATCTTTGTATATAATCTGGGAAATGCTTCCGATTTGCAAGGAATTTTTTATTAAAGTTCAATTATTCTTACAAAATCTTTTATAGCTCCGTATTTTTTTCTGTGTCACCCGATACTGCCCTGAGTTTTAATTGTATCCTTATGTACATATATTTTCATA